ACACACACACACACACAGAGACACACACACACATACGCACAGAGAGACACACACACACAGACACGCACACACACAGAGACACACACACACACACGCACGCACACAGAGACACACACGCACACAGAGGGAGACACACACACAGACACGCACGCACGCACACACACAGAGAGACACACACACACACACACACACAGAGACACACACACACAGACACGCACGCACACTCAGAGAAAGACACACACACGCACGCACGCACGCACGCACGCACACCAAAGACTGTTAAACTTTGGTGAAGTTTTTAAAATTCAGTCAGTACAGACTTGATCATGTGTTTATTAACTGTTTGTCAGTTTGCTAATGTTAATGTTGCAGTTTAGTCAGGTGAAAGAATCTAGCAAAACATGGCTTTGATATTCAAAAGCGTGGTGTGAGTGTGTGGAGTCAGTGTCAGTGACGTGTGTCTTACAGCGAGAGCTCTGGAGTCTCTCTGTGTGTCCTCATCTCTCAGACTCTCTGGGCTCGGCGTGTGGCTGGCAGACACTGAACCCTTGACAGGAGCCCTCACTGCAGGAAGAGCTTTACTTTGACCTGCACACAACACACACAGCACAGATCCTACACAACAGCACACTGACACTCCTGAAATCAAGACTCTCGTCACATCAGCAGCTTCATTTGACAAGGAGGGCGAATTAAATAAAGACTGATGTGATGTCACAGTGTGTGAATACCAGTTTCAAAGAAGTCATGCTGTGTGTGTGTGTGTGACCGTTAAGGCCCTACACGGAAGCAGCTCCGGGCGGATGACGTATGAGTTCAGCGTTGCGCATGCGCCGCTCAGAAGTGACGAACGCGGAAGCGCAGGGGAGAGATCAAAACAAAACAACGGTCACTAATTAGAAGTACAAAACGAGGATTTGTAAAGAAGAATGTTTTTTTTTTTAAATGTAAGACTATTTTTTCCGCAGCCAAACGCTGCACGCCGGAGATCCGGCACGATGCTTGAGAACTATAAGCCCTGAGAATGTGCATCAAAATAAAGTGTTAGCAGATGTTAAGCAGACAGTTACTAATACTCTAATGACTGCTTGGTGACATGGAGTCGCAAAGATACTTTTAGTTAGAATGTCTACATAATCTAAATTGACATTTTATTTTATTTAATTTTAAAATAAAATAAAATACAAAATTTACAAAAAAAAAAGACTATGTAAGTGAGTGTTAACTGTTCACACTGTCATCAACAGATGTGCTTCAGGTGTGAGTTTGTGAGGTGTCTGATGTGATAACACACACACACCCACGCGCGCGCACACTCACACTCATCAACAGATGTGCTTCAGGTGTGAGTTTGTGAGGTGTCTGATGTGATAACACACACACACTCACTCACACACTCACTCACACTCACGCGCGCACACACACACACACTTAACTCACTCTTACAAGCACACACTCACTCACACTTACACTCGCGCGCGCACGCACACACTCACTCACACTCACGCACACAGACTCACTCCCTCACTCACACGCGCACGCACACACTCACTCACACTCACGCACGCACACACACTCACTCACGCTTACACTCACTTACGCGCGTGCACGCACACTCACTCACTCACTCACGCGCGCACACACACTCACGCGCCACACTCACTCACTCACGCTTACACTCACATGCGCGCACGCACACACTCACGCTTACACACTCACACGCGTGCACGCACACACACTCACTCACGCTTACACTCACTTACGCGCGTGCACGCACACTCACTCACACTCACGCGCGCACACACTCACGCGCCACACTCACTCACTCACTCTTACACACACTCACACGCGCGCACGCACATACACTCACGCGCCACACTCACTCACTCACTCACTCACT